ACACACACACACACACACACACACACACACACACACACACACACACACACACACACACACACAGATATTTTCTTTAACAGGTTTTATAACTTCAGACACATTATTTAATTCTGATGATTAATAAACTGATGTTATCAACATCCACCACCACAGTGAGAGACAATAAAAACAGTTTTATCAGTGTGTGTATTAGTTTGCCTGACGTGTTAACAAAATATCTCATGGACCACTGGACGGATTTTGCAGCTGATGAAGTTCTGGGACAATCCTCCAAATAGGGGTCTCTGTGGATGAGTGGGCGTGTCAAAAGGAAAGGCGATTCTAAAGCGACACACCTGATTTAACGGACTTTGTTAAAGGGATTTACCTGATTGGACAAGAACAAAAAGGGGCGTTACTATACGGCACCACTTTTTCTGAAGAACCGTACTTGGGTCACATTTCTCCTGGTTAACCTTAGTGTTGGAGTCAGGGTCAGGGTCAGGGTCAGGCTGTAAAGAGATCAAGCAGGATCTAAGGACACCGTCATTTACGCCTCGTAGCCCACAGTGTTTATGCTTTAGACACGCCCACTCTTGTGACACGCCCACATTGATTCCGCAGTTAACCCCTTCTCCAATCCTCAGAGCTTTTGATTGGCCAACACTAAAACGTTTCTGTTCATTTCACATACTGAGCTCAAACCTGAGATTTGACCTAATCTGAACCATATAATCTCAGTTTAACCTGACACAGAGGCGGCGGGTGATATGCATTTACTTATTGATGCTAAAAACATGTTAGCCTTTCAGGTGTAACCACTGCCATACGTTCATCATGAAAAATAAAAAATAATATAAATTATAATAATATGAAATACAAGAAGTGTAGGGACTATAATCTGTGGGCCGGATTAAACACCACAGCACCCTGGTTCTGGGTTTATGTGGTACCTGAGTCGTCCTGTTCTGGGTCGTACCTGAGCCRTACTTGACGTCGTGCGAGTGCAGGCGGACGTTGTGTCTGGTGTTGAGCAGTTTGACCAGAGAACCGCAGGTCACGTAGTTCAGCTCCGAGTCTCTCCCGTCACACCCGGACCACAGCAGCAGAACCAGCAGGGACCGGACAAAGCCACGAACCAACAGGACACCCTCCATCTCAGCCTACCTTCTACCGGTACCGCGGTACACGGCTTTTCCGAACACCGCTCTAGATCCCAACCAATCAGCGTGTGACAAGTTCAAAACACGGAAACAACTGGCGGTCTGTGATTGGTCAATATTCTACGTCACAAGGAGTCTGTTCCTCATCAGTCAGCCGGTGATTGACCCGGATAAAGAGACGACGGGCGGAGTGAGGAATTAAAACAATTGTATTATTTACAGTGGTGGGCACAGTTCCCCTAAAACACTGAAGCACTAAWAGGGGAACTAATTTTCTGATTAGTGCTTTAGGGCTTTTGCTAATTTCTTAATTCATTAGTGGATTAGCACCTGCTAAATTTATGGGCTAAATTTATWAGCACTAATTGAGTTTTTATTGATCAACATTATTGTCAACAGCTGAGGGTGAAAGCTGTTACGTGTTGTTCATATGTGTGTGTGTGTGTGTGTCACTTATCCACTAGATTAGTGTTTTTCAAACTGCTTCTGACCCCTCACAAAATAACAGTTTTAGACACTCATGACTCCATATATTACTTGTTTACAAAGCAAACTTTACTAATAACTCTGTTAAACATGGGAATAATAACTATAAACAAACCTAGTATGATAATATTTTTTATTCATTTATGATTATTTAAAAAAATTGCAAAAATCATGATGAAAATATTCCATTAGCATTTCCTTTGCATTTAAATTGATGTCTGGAAATCATCTGGGGACCCTCACTTGATGTTTTGTGACCCACAAAGAGGTCCTGACCCCAACTTTGGGAGCCACTACACTAGATGAAATTTTAACAATATTCTGCACACAGGAAGTATTGTCTCATGTTGACTCTGAGGAATGTCCCATGGGTCAGCTGGGATTTTAGTGCTTTAGAATTAGCTTTTGCTAAWTTTTTAAGTGTGTTAGTGCTTTAGAATTAGGGGACCTAAATATTAAAATTAGTACTTTAGGGTTGGCTGCCCACCACTGATCATATATAAACTTACTTAGTATAAGAAAACTGGAGATTAGTAGTTTATTTATTTGTTGTAACAATGCTTCTTGGTAATAAATCTTATTGCAGACATTTGATTGATAGCATCTGGGAGTACCTGCAGCTCAAAACAAGTGTCAATAACAACAGAAAAACAAGATTTAATTGTTTGGTAAAATCCTCSATGTTTATACTGATTTCTTTTATAAGGGTGGTGAAGATAAACTACAGTATTTATTTAAGTACTGTGTGTTTCAGTTAGTTCAGTGTGTTACAAAAGCGTGGCACCTTTGAAAGAGGACACTTTAAATGAGAAGGATGTTGATGTTGGTCTGTGTCTGCATCTTTGACAATGTTTGTGTGTTTTATAAGCAGAGGTTTATAGTAACTAAGTACATTTACTTTGTTATGGTACTTGAGTATTTTTTTGAGGATTTGTAATTTTACCAAAGATACTTTTACTTTTATTTCATTACATTTTAAAGCTAAAAGTGATACTCTTACTTCTTTACTTTAAAATGTAACACCTAGTTACTCGTTACAAAATAAAAAATGTTAGAACTCATCATGAAAGTAGATGTTTATGCTCTAAAAAATGAAGTGTTGAATTTACTCAACAAAGTGAARTCAACTGGCTCCACTAAGCCTAGTTGAGTAAATAGTTTACATATATTGCTCAATTTACTCAACCTGGCTTAGTGGAAGCAGTTTGGTTCAGTAAATTCAACAGTTTATTTATTAGAGAGTGTGTAAAAGTACTCTTACTTTTACTAGTACTTTACTAGTGTGCCCCAGGGCAGCTGTGGCTACAATTGTAGTTTGCCATCATCAGTGTGTGAATGTGTGTGTGCATGGGTGAATGTCTGCAGTGTGAAGTGCTTTGAGTGTCCTGAATGGATAGAAAGGTGCTATATAAGTACAGTCCATTTACTTTCCCAATTTTTGTGAACAGTTTTATGACTTTTACTTGAGTAGTTTACTCATCAGTGAAATTTATTTTTACCAGCCATTTTCTGTTCATGTAATTTACTTTTACTTAGTTTTTCCCCCAAGTACTTTACAGACATTTGCTTATAAGCCTATGAGACCTGGGCACGTTCATGGTGTATGGCACAAAATAAATAAATTCTTTCTTACTTACTTTAGTTACTTACTCGACACATTTTATTGAAACCTTCAGAAAGTAATAATAATGCATTAATTTTATAAAGCACTTTTACAGACCCTAGAAGAGGCTTCATTCATCATCCACACACATTCATACTCTGATGATGGTAAACTAGCTGGCCTGGGGCACACTGACAGAGGTGGGGCTGCCATGCACCGGTGCCACCGGACCCTCTGACCACCATCAGTATGCAAAGCAGGTGAAGTGTCTTGCCCAAGGACAAAACAACTGAGACGGCTGAAACGGGACCGAACCAGCAACCTGTCCTGTAACTCTCGATTACAGGACGACTCTGCCACAGCTGCCCCAATAAAGTAATCATTCCATGTATTACAACTGGTTACCTTTTGACCCAACCTGATTCAAGATGGCCACCATAGCTAACGGCTAACTGACATTAGACGATGTAAAAAGACTAACCTCATCATTTTTACTGATACAGAGCTAAAGGTTTGTGTGGTACTAGCTGAGAGCCATTCACAACACATACTGATGTTAAATAAAGATGTAATAAAGGTTAAATTAGTGTTAAATTAATTGAAGGAAATTAGAAGTCTGAATAATATAGCAAAAAACCAACCACTCTTTCAGGGATGAAGATGTTCTYATCCTTGATAGAGAGGAACGTTGGTTTGAGAGAGGAGTAAAAGAAGCCATCTTTGTGAAGAAAAACCATCCACCATTAAACAGAGGTGGAGGCCTTCATGTCCAGTTGTCCTCCTCCTACAACGCTGTCATTGCAAGTATGACTCAGCCCCCTGTGAGCAAAATGATGTGAATCAGGGCCCCATCGATAACNGAGACGGCTGAAACGGGACCGAACCAGCAACCTGTCCTGTAACTCTCGATTACAGGACGACTCTGCCACAGCTGCCCCAATAAAGTAATCATTCCATGTATTACAACTGGTTACCTTTTGACCCAACCTGATTCAAGATGGCCACCATAGCTAACGGCTAACTGACATTAGACGATGTAAAAAGACTAACCTCATCATTTTTACTGATACAGAGCTAAAGGTTTGTGTGGTACTAGCTGAGAGCCATTCACAACACATACTGATGTTAAATAAAGATGTAATAAAGGTTAAATTAGTGTTAAATTAATTGAAGGAAATTAGAAGTCTGAATAATATAGCAAAAAACCAACCACTCTTTCAGGGATGAAGATGTTCTTATCCTTGATAGAGAGGAACGTTGGTTTGAGAGAGGAGTAAAAGAAGCCATCTTTGTGAAGAAAAACCATCCACCATTAAACAGAGGTGGAGGCCTTCATGTCCAGTTGTCCTCCTCCTACAACGCTGTCATTGCAAGTATGACTCAGCCCCCTGTGAGCAAAATGATGTGAATCAGGGCCCCATCGATAACAACACAAAGAGAGAAAAAATAAAAACAAGGGAACGTTGAGCCCCGCCTGCATTCACTACATACACATGAAATGACACCTAAGAACCACAGCATCCAAACCAATAAGTCAGATGATGGGGCACATGACCCTCTATGAACAATAGAGCCAATCAAGCCTATTGTTAAAGGAGACCAATTACAGGTCCTAGAAATTTTTATGGTATGTCTGTGGTCTATCCAGACCATGGTCATTCAATTTAATGCACAAAATAATTCTCAGATAATAAAATTTCCYATTTTCTAGTTCTGCCTGCTCTGACTTCCGTTCAGAAGAGCTGTTTATGTTAATGAGCTCTGTTGGTAACGCCCTCCAAAAATCTGTTGACATTAACTCCGCCCTCCAAAGCCAGCGGGCTAGTAATAGCAGAAGCTCCGTTTTACAACCGTATATATGAGACCCTGAGTCAGACCCAGAGGCAGGGTCGTGGTCKTAGCTTTTTTTTTTTCTTTCTCCCCCTCCTCTGTTGGAGTTCTGCGCTCACTCTGCATGCTTTGCAGGGCAGGTAATTGGAGCAGCAGCGGTTAAAATACCTCAGAAACTCAAACAAATAGGCTAAAGCTAAAAACAATAGAGGTACATGAGAAAACGTGTTCATAACGAACGAAAATAAATAATTAAATTGTTTGTGTCCGTCTCGAACCCTGGTCTCCCGCTCTCTGGTCCAAAACTCTACCCATTGCCCCATTGGAAGGCTCGTTGTGAGTTGAGCTGCACATTACACAACAACCGTGATGGCTTTTTATACTGGAGGTGGAGTCTCACCAGAGGCGATTGCTCTAATGCTGCGTTCACACCGAATGCAATTTCAGCTTCAAAATTGCATCCARCGCTTCTAGTTGGACGCTTGTGCACTTTGAGGTCAGACGCAGGTCAGATCTTGAAGCGCTGCACGACAAGAGCCTCCCCGCCCCTCCCTCCTCTGTCGGGCTCTGTTTAATGTCGGACGAGGAAGTGGCTTTGCTTTGTTTACAGAGAGCCAGAGCGTGTCACGTTCATCAGATAATTAATTCATAATTAATTCACCAGATAATTCAGAG